TAAGTCTCTGCATCGACTGCCCTGGCGCGGACCCGACGGTTTTCACATCGTCAGCGAACTTAAAGCAGGGGTTTTCGAGGTCCCGGCTAAGGTCGTTTATGTATAGCAGAAGGAGGAGCGGGCCTAGTACTAACCCTTGCGGGATCCCACTCCGAAACATTCCTCTGTATTCTGCTACATCAAACTCAAAACTCCGGCCTGTCACGCATTTCGTGAATTACACCATCACCCTAGGGGTGAGTCTAAACCCTCTTAGTTTCATTAGAAGCAGGTGATGGTGCACCGAATCGAAGGCCTTGGCGAAGTTGAGGTAGCAAACCTCTACCCGTTCCCCGATCAATGCGCCTAATAAGTTCGTCTAAGAAGCAAAGTAAGTTGGACAGGCATGACCGTTTCCTGACGAAACCATGTTTATCTGCGGTGAGTAGACCATTACCGACGAGATGGTGGGCAATCCTGTCGCGTAAAATTCATTCTATTACTTTCAGTACTGCTGAGGTCAAGCTCACTGGTTGGTAATTCGAGCACGATTCCCTATCTCCCCCCTTGTGGATTGGGACAACCCTTGCCAGTAGCAAATTCTCTGGCAGTCCACCCGTCTCTAAGGAGGCGTTGAAGAGCTTGCTCAGAGGCACTGCCAGTCGTCCCACCAGCGGTTTCAGTAGAGCTGGGTGAATCCCGTCAGGACCTGAAGCCTTCGTAGCCACTAGTCCTTCGGGGATACGTAGGACTTCGTCGACACTTATGGGGTTCTCATCCATGGGCGTGGTTGACAGCTCTCTTACCCCTTGCTGTCCCGATGCTCCTGGATCCTCCCGGTATACCTGCTGAAAGGAGGAGAATAATACCCTTGCTTTTCCCTCTGTACGTTTATAACACACCCTACTTATCTTCGGAAGCAGGCTTTGAATTGCACGTAGTTGAAGTATGACTTCGGGTTCCTCCGTGCATTCCGTGCCAGTCTCATCCAGTACGCTTGTCGATACTCATTTTTGGAGCCAAATTGCTCGTTGACGTTCCGCCCTGAAGTGCAGCAGAGATCTGTGTCCTTTTTACTGCAGGTAGCTTCCCCAAACTGCTCCTTTGCGTCTGAGCGCTCGCTCTAGACAAACACGCCACCATGGGGGCGTCCCATGCCTTCGGAGGGGTGCCACTTAATCTGTTAGCCTCAGGAAATTAGTTTTTACCCATTGGTCCCAATGGTCAGCTACCGGGTCGAGCTCCCCTCTATCGTCCAATTAAGCCTTTCAGCCCTGTCTTGGATGTCCTGAGGGTTTATTCGAGGCCATTGGCGTCGATAGTTATCGGTTACGGGTTGCCTCCCAGATTCATGCGAAACTTGAGGAATCTGTGATCGCTCTTATCAATCGGTTCCTGGATCTATAGACTCTTAGTCTCTGACATGAACCTGGTTATCACAAGGTCAAGAGTCGATGGGATTCGCCCTTCTCCCCAGCGCGTTTGTTGGTTGAAATCCTGGACCAGGGTGTTTTCTCGTGCCAAACCCACTAGGAGTTCGCCGAAGCTGCCTCTTGTTACAGTACCGTCCTCCTAGTTAGCCTCAGGGGCATTAAAGTCCCCCAGCAGTAGTATGCTCCGATTGGATTCTGCTAACTCCCGAAGGTGAACCATTAGAGTTTCATCTTCACTGCGTCAGGATGTAGGGCTGCGGTAACAGCACAAGAGGGTGATTCCCCTGTAGGACAATTTCACAATGGTCGTCATCACCTAGAGGTTAGGTGTGATTACCCGCGGACTATCATATTGCTCTTAGGGCTGTCCCACTAACAGAAAGGCATCACCACCAGCTCTACCATCCCGTCGATTAACCCTGCTTTCAATGTAGCCCGTGGGGCCCTGGGCTGTTATACTCCCCTCGGGTCGCGGCCACGTTTCAGTGATTTCAATCACATCTGCTCCATGAGAGCACACCCTAAGCTCAAACCACTTGTTCCCTATGCTCGCCGCATAAGAATTGGTGAGAAGTAGTTCTAACCCCCCTGTGTATGTGCCCCATTAGGGGAGTTGTGATATCCCTCGGATTTTAGGTCCGAGCACCCCGATCCTCTTTTTTGGTTGGAGGGCTTTGCCTTTCTGGTCTACTTCGATGGGGGACCCTCTTTCTGCTCGGTACCCCCTGTGTTTTCTGGGGCTTTTAACCCACCAGGAATGTTCCACAGCTAGTGGGTAACGAACTCTTACCTGGGCTAACCTTTGTAGCAAGGGTATCTCCTGAAAAGCGCCTCTCAGGTGACCATTGTACCCTTTCTACCAACAGAAGTGGATGCCTTAGTGTCCCTGTATTATAGATGGGTGATGCTGGTGAGCCTGCGGTCGGTTTTTCTCTGCATCACCTACTGTCGTCAGGTTGTACTATTATACCTCCTTTTGTGGCGGTCCTAATTTTGTCAGCCGCAGCAAGAAACCAGTCCCTGTGTCTCGCGTTGGTGAACTCAACCAAGACGAGTCTGTGTTCACTTTCCATGCTGCTACCAGCCTGCCATTTTCCTAGGCGCAATATCCTTTTGATAGCCACATGGCCTGGGAAGTTGGCACACCTGAGTAGGTTCGCCATATGATATCTCATGGCTCGGTCCCTCAGGCGACCCTCTTTCGTGAAGGGTTTCGGAATGCTTCTAACAACGACATTCCTGTGTCTTCCCAAGGCTAACTCACTAGTCGGCTGGAGCTCGGACAGGGTTTTGGTTATGTTTTGTAATTCTCTTTCCAAAGCTGACACCTTATCCTTCATGGCTTCCAGTCTCTTATCTTACCCGACAGTTTGCTGCTGGTGATTTGCTTTTTTGTTTTTACCACCTCTGGGCTTCTTGTTATTCTTCTTATTTTGGTCCCTATTAGATCAACTGAAAATGTTGGCATATTCACCGACTCGAGTCGCTTCTTTGGACTCGCTTTTAGTTTTACGGTCTGTTTTTACCCCTTGGTTTTTGATAGTTTCCTGCGCCTGGGAAAATGGAGGGAAACCTCTCACGTTGTCAGCGAATGTAACCCAAGAATAAAGCTGCTAGAGTTCCAAAACCCTAGACACCAGGATGTCATGTTAGCAGCAGCAGGCTACGTGCAACTCTTGACCAAAGGCAAAATCGCCGTAGTCCCTGATTATGCGAATAACTGGAAGAGTGTAGCTATTGTGCCATTATTCTCACCAGGCAGCGCCAGGTGACTGCTCGTAAGGGTGCAACCTTCCACTCTGATTGGTTACACCGAGCCCTAATGCCCGCACACCCGGGCGCTCCATGAATGAATCGGTATTTTTGTTAAACCATTTTTACACCGAAGCAGCAACGCCGAAAGCAGTGCCTGTTATTGCTGTAATCCCAATCTGCGGGAGTCCACATAGGAAGGACTCTACAACCGAGGCAAAAACGTCGGCGGGCACCCGGGCATGAGCCCTGGGTGCAGTCTTTTACTGCTAAGGGAACACACGGTGCAGACATTGGATGTTCTCTACACCAACGCATGCAACCTGATGAACAAGTGGCCCAACATACTAGCAGAAGCAGGAACGGCCACTTGCATAACAGTCACTGAAATATGGCTGAAACCGGACTTCAACACCACAGGATTACACTCACCAGGATTCATGGTCTATCGATGTGATCGCACTGACGGTCGCATCGGTGGTTGTTCCCTAATACGGGTAGCGGAACAACTAACACAAGCAGCCGTGACCAACCTGGGGACAGCAAACATCCAATCCACCGGGTGCTTGCTGAAACAACCCCATAGCGATGTAGCAATAATTTG